ACATTGTTGACATTCATAGGGCTTCTCCCCAGTATGAGTTTTTTCATGTCTGTGAAGTATAGTGGAGTTAGTGAAGGCTTTGCCACACTGCTTACATTGATAGGGCTTCTCTCCAGTATGGGTCCGTTCATGTCTGTGAAGGGAAAAAGAAGTAGTGAAGACTTTTCCACATTGTTGGCATTCATTAGGATTCTCTCCAGTATGGATTTGTTCATGTCTCTGAAGGTAAGACAAACTAGGGCAGGCTTTCCCACATTGTTGACATTCATAGGGTTTCTTTTTCATATGAGTTTTTTTATGTGAGTGAAGGTTAGACGATTGAGCAAAAGCTTTGCCACACTGCTTACATTCATAGGGCTTCTCTCCAGTATGCGTCCGTTCATGTCTGTGAAGGGAAGAAGAAGTAGTGAAGACTTTTCCACATTGTTGGCATTCATTGGGCTTCTCTCCAGCATGGATTTGTTCATGTATCTGAAGGTAAGATGAAGTACTGTAGGCTTTCCCACATTGTTGACATTGATAGGGCTTCTCTCCAGTATGTGTTCGTTCATGTCTGTCAAGGGATAAAGAAGTAGTGAAGACTTTTTCACATTGTTGGCATTCATTGGTCTTCTCGCCAGTATGGTTTTGTTCATGTATCTGAAGGTAAGACAAAGTAGTGAGGGCTTTTCCACATTGTTGACTTTCATAGGGTTTCTCTCTAGTATGTTTTCTCTGATGTATTCTAAATAAACTTCGGTAAGCAAAGTCTTTCCCACATATGTTACATTTAAAAAGTGCTTTCCCAGTGTGCGTGATCACGTGACTGTGTAGACCTGTGGGTGAAACTAAGGTTTTACCACCTTCTTTACACTCATGGGATTTCTCTCCAGAATGAGTTCTTTCATGTATTCTAAATAAAGTGGGGGAATAAAAGGCTTTCCCACATACCTCACTTTGAAAAGCTTTACCTCCCATATGTGTTCTTGTGTGACTTTGAACATCTGTGGGAGAAGATGAGGCTTCATCACATTGTTGACATTCATCAGGTTGCCACCCAGTACAAGAATCTTCATGCCTTTGAATGTCATTGGAACAGCTGATGACTTTCCCACATACTGTACTTTCATAGGGTCCATCTCCAGTTTGTGTTAACATTTGTGTATGAACACTTTTGAGAGAAACCAGAGATTTCCTGTATAGTTTCAATTCACCTGGCTTCTCCTCACATTCTTCCTGCTTGTAGCATTCAGGTCCATAGTGAGATGTGATCTGCCTATGAAGGAATAAAGGGCATATGAAGTCTTTGGCACACATAATGCAGTCACATGAATTTGATCTATTAAAATTTTTCTTTGCTTAAGAATTGGTATCTCATGACCAGCACATTATTAATACTTGATTAATTCATGATGTTGTATTTATTTAAGGTCCTAGGTTAACGTTACTTCCAACATGAGGTAAAGCCTAGGTTTTTCAAACTTGTTCAAATAGGCAGAAAATAAAGAGATTGAGAGGAAACAATGCTTTGCAACACAGCTTGCCTATGGTCCAAATTACATTCACATATGCAATTTCATAATATTTTTTGCATGTTAAGCACTTTGAATAGACTTAATATCTTTTATATATATATATATATATATATATATATATATATATATAAATTTATTTCAGTTGACAATAGACTTTATTGATTTAAATGTGGTGCTGAGAAGAGCCCAGTGCCTCAAGCATGCAAGGCAAGCTCTCTACTACTGAGCCACAACCCCAGTCCCAGTGAAGTATATATTTCTGGTAAAAAAATCTTATAAGAATAAATACTTTTAAAGTTGTGCAAATTTCTTGCATTGGTTTTAAAAATTATATGACATCCCCAGATTCCCTCAAGGATTCCTCTTGTGAGTACAATTACCTTTGATCGCTCCCAAAATTTTTGATCTTATTTTCAATGTTCTTCTCATCACATTTGATTCCTAAAATGCCAAACCAAAACATTATAAATTTCTAGGAGCTAGAAATGCTTTTCCAAATTCATAGTGCATTTTATGCTACAATAATTCACCAACTGATTGTCTTCTCATGTTCTACATAAATGAAAAAAAATAAACACAAATTCTCTAATTAAGTAAATACACAAATTATTACCTATAGATGCCAGGTTTCTGAGGACCTCCAGCATCACATCTCTGTAAAGGTTCTTCTGGGAAGCATCCAGCAAATCCCACTCCTCCTGCATGAAGTTCACAGCCACATCCTCGAAGGTCACTGACATCTAAAATATCCCACAAATGTGTAGTGGAGACCAGGAGAGATTTGACAGCATGAGAAATCTATACTCAACATGCATGATGTTCACATGATTCCCTAGCCTCTCGATTAATTCCACAATTTGGTCATTTAAATCTCCAGTGCATTTAATTCTTCACAGCCACTCCAACACTAGATTTGGGCCCCACACAAGGTAAATAGTAGAGTGTTGTACACCCTTCCTTTGGTGAGTTCACAAGAAGTAAAAGGGGCTCCCAGGTCACCCTGATCTTATTTGTTGATTGCATCTCTATCACCTTCTTACCAACATCCTGTGCAGTAGAGAGCTAATATTAGCACCCTCCTTATTACTTACCCTTAGAAAAGAAAGCTGACTGAGTAGGAAATTGCTGGCATCACAAAACTCAGCATTTGAGAGAACCTGCCAACCTCAGTGGCTCACTGGGCCTACACAGTTAATATATAGACAACATGGTATTTACTGTTTCCTTCTGAAAGTCAATTGTTCCATCCTAAAAGAAGTGCCTAGAATCAGCCCCAACCCACACCCTCAGAGTATGGAATCACTAAAGAGTTTCCCTCATAGACAACAGTTAGACAATCTTCTACACAGGTTGTCACAATGTGTTCACTGGGGACTGAGCTCAACTTAGGTGATTACACTGAGGACAACTAGAAGTTTGCAAGTGCTTTACTCCAGAACAAATTTACCCAATTAGTAATCAAGTACAATGATTAATAAACATAACAATTTAATAATTTCTGGTGGTTAATGTCAAAGCAGAATGGGGTGTGTCAAAAGATGGCATGTGTCTCAGAAAGAACTGGATGACCCCAAGATGTTATCTTGTCCAAACAACAGCCTTACAAAATTATATCGGTTTGAAAAATAGTTTTCTTAACAGCAGAAAATCCTTTCCTAAACCTCATGGCAACCATGAATGTCCAATGATTCTCAAACTCTTCTGAAAAGCAGATGTCTCACTCAGATCATGTACAGTCATGAGACACATACCACCGTTCTGCTCAAGGACACTTTGATCAAGATATGCCACATGTACAATGGTGGTCTGTCATGAAAGAGATTCCTCCTTCCTGTAGCACAGCTGGTGCAAGAAAACCTCAGGCACAAGCACTTCCAGGGTGTGTAAAGCAGCAGGTTTGCAGCCCAGAATCCTGAACTATCCCATGCTGACTGTTTGTGAAACAGGCCACCTCATGTGGGTCTATAAGCAGGCTATGATTTCTGCACAGTGTGGAACAGCCCAAAGGACAACCTACCTGAACACGACCCTGCCATCACAAAAAACCATGCATAGGACATAAGACACATGACATTTGAAGCAGGACAGTATCAACAGAGGTTAATAGGAGCCTGAGAGAAAGCCTTTTGTGGGCTGTCCTTCATTGCATGGAAAAAGTATGAATGACAGCAGGTGTCTTGGAGACTGATCACAATGATGAAAAGGCAAACTGAAATCTAAGTGGCAAAGGGTACTTCATCCCACTATTCTGCAGACAAATATCATTTATTATACATTTAACTGTGAAAGACTAAAACACAATTCAAAAATGTAAAAAAAAAAAAAAAATAACAACACCCCCAAAAAAAAAAAAAGTCAAGGCTCTGACATCTCAAACAGGCTTCTATGAGACATTTAAGACCTGCCACCAATTTTCTACTGTTATTTCCAGACAACAGAAGTTGAGTTAAAACTTCCTAATTCTTTCTTTTTATATTTATTTTTTTACTTGCAGTTGAACACAATAGCTTTATCCTATTTATTTATGTGGTGCTGAGGATTGAACCCAGGACCTTGCACATGCTAGGCAAGTTCTCGACCACTGAGCCACAACCCCAACCCACCTTCTAATACTTTATCTGGCATATTTTACCATATTATCAAAATTAAATAGATAAATAAAAGTATTAAATAAAAAAGAAAACTATGAAAGACTCTCATGATCATGAATGCAAAATTCCTCAAACAAAACTTTACTGAATCCAAAAATAAATAAAAACAATTATAAACACAGTCAAGAGGAAATTATTACAGCTCTGTAAGACTGATGCCAAATTTAAAACTAGTTAACATTTTCCAGGGACGAGCATACTACTGTGGGAAGTCAAGCCCAGTGGCCCAGATCCACTCACATCAGCCTCTGAAGGGCCCAGGAACACAGCACACATGCAAGGCTGATTCAGAATTAAAAAACCAATTAACATTATCCATAACAACAAAAAGCTAAATAATAAATATTGATTATATCAATAGTTAAAAAATCAAGAATAATGAAAAAAACACTCAAGCTCAAAAAAACACAGTGTCTTCATAGAGAGACAGCATGATCCTCTATGCTACTGAAATCCACTGAAGAATCATGAAAAACAATGATGTGACATCAGTGTTGTCATGTTAATAAACAGGACAATTATTATACTATTGACGGCAGGAAGCTGGGCATGGAGGCCATGCCTGAGGTCCTTGCCAATCAGGGGGCCAAGGCAGGATGATCCCAGGTTTGAGTCCAGCCTGAGCAATTTAGCAAGACTCTGTTTCTAAACAAAAAATTAAAAGTTTTGGGAATGCAGCTCAATAGTAGAGCAGCCCTGAGTCCAACACCCAGCACCAAAATGAAAAGAAAAACAAACACACACCACTTATACAGAACCAATAAAAAAAAATACTTATATATAAATCTAACAAAAATCTGTATGACAAAAACTGCTAACTTCTAATAAAAATATCAGAGACATGGAAAATATTTGGAAATACTTTTATGTTCACAGATGGGAAGCCTCAGTTACCATCAATTCTTACCAATTTTATTTATGGATTCAGTATAATCCCAATAAAAAATATTTTAAGTCATGTTTTCAGTAACAAAAGATCCAGAACAACCAACACAGTAATGAACACTCAGTTCACAGGATGAACACTACCTGAGGTTAACAACTACTAAAAATCTATAATAATCAAGACACAGTCATATTTGGCACAGGATAAAAATATTCCACTGATCTTGGACAAAGGAGTAAAAGAAAATCAATGGAAAATATACTCTCTTGGACAATGTTGCCAAAGAACTGGACATGAATTAACATGTAGAGAAAGAAAACATTCTCATTTCACAATGTCACAGCGCTCCCAGTGGAGCCTCAGTCTCAAACTGGGACACACAGCTGGGACTGCAGCTCTAGCAAAGCACCTGCCTGGCACATAGGAGGCCCAGGGTTAACTTGTCAGCACCAAAAAATTGCCTATACATTGTAGTACCTAATGCAATACTCCAAACTTCACTAAAATAACAAAAAAGTACTTACAGAGAAATCTGGGCTGGCATGACAGCTTCATATGCAACACTAAACACATGAACTGTGAGCGAAAAACTTGTAAATAGAACTTGATCAAAATGAAGTTAGCATTTTTCAAAAGATGTACTTGAGAGAATGAGAAGACATGCTGGAGAACTGGACAAAATGTTGTCACAACATATAGTGACACTGGGTTTGTATTCAACATACATGAAGAATACTCAGTAAAAAAATAATCAACCAACTTGGAAGTGGGAAAAATATTTGGAAAGACACTCATAAATACATAGGCACAGTTAACACATGTGTGAGAAGATGTTCACCTGCATATAATTAGGAAATTTCAAAATGAACAATGAGGTGCCACCAGATACTCAACTGGATTGGTGACATGCCAAACACCAAAGGCTCCAAAAGACACTGAAAACATAAATCAGCAAGAACCCTTCCCTTGCTCATGTGAATGGAGAGAAGAAAACTGTCTGGAAGACAGTCACGCTCTTACAAAATAAACACGGTGCACTCTACAATTAATTCACCACACTCCCAGGTGTCTATTCAAATGAGGTGAAAATTATGCACAGAAAACTTCTCAGCAGTGACTACAGCAGCCATATCAAGAACTGCCCAAAACTAGAAGCAAGGAAGATGCACCTTTCAATGCTGAATGGACAAGCTGCAGTTTAACCACACCAAAGAACATCACCCAGAAAGTGAGCTCTGCAGCCTGCAAAGATACAGCACCCTTAAAGGCAGACTAAGTGAGAAAAGCCAGTCTGAAAGGCCAAATGCAGTAAGATTTCAATTCAAGAACATTCCAGAAGAGACAACATTATAGATGCACTGAAACTCTTCTGTATGACATTATTATGTACAGTATGTGATACACAAAATTACACCACATAGAGGAGGAACCCTAAGGTAAAGGATGGATTTCAGCTGATGATAAAGTGTTGCTTCATCCAATCTCTTAATCAAATGTAGGATACTGATTCAGTAACTAACAAGCATCCAACATCAATGCAAAATATCGAGAACAGTGTAGAGAAGGGTGTTTGATACTATATGTAATGGCTCATTTGAATTGTCAACCGCATTGGATTAAGAGATACCTGTGATTAAGAGGCCTCTGGGTGTGTCCATGAGGGTGTGTCTACAAATGATTGGCATGTGGAACTGAGAACCAAACTAGAGAACCTCCTTAGGTATAGGCACCACCATCCAATACGACGGTGTCTTAGGTGGAACAAAAGTTGGAAGAAGGAAGAAGCAGCAGCAGAGAAAGCCCCTTTCTTCTACAATGGCTGCTGCAGTGGCCTGAGGATATCAGACTCTGCCTTCTTCACTCTCCCAAAGTGGACTCTGCCTGTGATTCTCCAGGGAGTTTCCAAAACCTTTGGTCTGGACTAGGGCAGCACCACTGATCCCTCTTGTTCTGAGGCTTCAGCCTCTTGGACTTTGCAGCTACTACTTCTCAAGCTCTCCAGCTGCAGATGGTCACTGTGGACATCCAGCTTCAGGTCAAGTAGGCCAATCTAATAAGTCCCCTTTTATAATCACACTTCGTGTTGATGCTGTTCCTCTAGCAAACAGTGACTAACAAACTATAAGACTAAAATTGCTCTGAAATACAAAATTGATTTAATAAGGAAGTGAATAAACTATATGCCATAAACTTTAAAAAATAT